TATTTATTTATTTATTTATTTATTTATTTATATTAATTACAACGGTTACACCAATGACAGCAATTAATTAATTTGTTATAAGACCATTATATCAATATTACAAATACACATTCAAATCCATGTCAACATTAAAAGAAATATAATAAAATAAAATAAAATTCAACTTCATGTCAGAACCTAAACCATATGAAATGTCAAGATTAATCAGAAAATATCATTATGTCAAACTTGTCAGACTCAAAGTACCCACAAAACATTTGAAAAAAAAAACTAATAAATATTATATTATAGTAGGTAAACTGTTCGTAAGAATTAAGTCACAATAAACCTACATGTTATTTACAATTTAGTACAACATTTTCACAAAATTGTATGGTCAACAGTACAATTTGGTTAAACCTGTCGGCTAATACGTCACAATCGGGTAGCTCCAGAGTGAGGGCATTGATTGCGCTGCGCATGCTACAAAGCGGGGAGTGCGCGCGTGATACAGTGCGGCACCGCGGGTTCACGAGTAGTCTGTGCCGGCGGCCGCGGCGGTGGCGCAGGTAGTTGTCTGGGACGTAGATGGTGCATAATAGATTATGTAATTCTGGTGAATCGATAACACTCCGCAAAATCTTTAGTGCAGTTATGATCTGTATCCGAGAGCGCCGTACAGCCAGAGAGTTGTATCCCAGAGTACCTCGTAGCGGCGCGTAGCTCGGTGTCACACCGTATAGCTGACCGTAGCACTTGTAGCGGCGCGTAGCTCGGTGTCACACCGTATAGCTGACCGTAGCAATAGTAGCAGCGCGTAGCTCGGTGTCACACCGTATAGCTGACCGTAGCACTTGTAGCAGCGCGTAGCGATATGTAACACTGTAAAGCTCACTGAAGCACTAGTAGCGGCGAGTAGCTATGAGATAATTAAATTCTAATGAAATTAATACTGTATTTCAGCACAGCATTGATAATTCTCTCCGTGTATGTGATATCTGTGACGTTCGCATACCCCATACAATGTTATCCAGCTATCGCCGTCGTAATAGAAGTAATTAAGTACCATGATGCTATGGTTGTTCCTGAAGCTAAAATGCTGAATAGAATAGAGACCTTTGGACGACCGCTATTCGTATTGTTAACCTGTAAGTGGAGGTTTCGTTTACCCGTGCTATCTTTGAGTTTCTTATCTACGTTCTTCTATAAAAATAATAAAAAATAACTATTTGTCTATGTTTTACATTCAACCAATAAACTGATTATAGTGTTGATAGAACGAATACTCTGAGAGATGTGTGATTGAACGTCCACGTCATAAAGGAAAATCCTGCCACCTGCCTAATGGTAGTGCGTACCTAATATAAATTCAATAGTTATAATGCATTTTTTTATACACCGTGATATTTTAATGGTTGTTTTCCCACAGTAAAATGATTCTATTTTAGTAGTACAATATATTGAGAAAGTTGTTTTTAATTTGAATAAAAAAATAGCAGTTTTACGATAGTGATACACGAAACTTGAAAGAAACCGCGAACCAATAGTACCGCCGCGACCGGCCACCGGCCGCTGTCATTGTCGCTCGTGCTTATCAAAAGGCTGATAACTCAGTATTTACTAACAAGTGATTTCCATTTTCCCTTCATACTTTAACGGGCTTAGGACCGTCGTAAATACTTTTTAACTACACTTACTAAACACAAACATAAACAAAATTTAATCAAGAGATATTATCTTGTTTATTACTGAATTTGGGAAAGTATTTATGGCGTATTTAAAAAATGGGAATCAACGTATTTACAATGATTTTAATCACCTATCTTATTGTTTTATTTACAAATGTACAAGTACTTACACTTCCCGGTAACGGAGCAATTGTTCAAAGTGTAAGCCACCGCGTTCCACACACAATCGTGCACGTTTTAACTGATTGGCTTTCAATTTTAATAATGTGTCTCTGTCACGTCTAATCACATCAAAAGCGTCCACTATCGCACTTTTTAACGCGTCGCGAGTTTCGTACTCTTGCCGATACACAAGGCGTTTGAGATTAGACCACAAATAAAAGTCTAGTGGAGTAAGATCCGGGCTTCGTGGTGGCCATGGCACTGGCCCGCCACGACCGATCCAACGCTGGGGAAACACCGAGTCGAGGTGCTCTCGCACGGCGCGCTGATAATGCGCAGGGCAACCATCGTGCTGGTAATACAGGCCATCCATGGGCACTGCTAACGGAATGTCATCTAGTAAGTCCGGGATAACACTACGTAGCATTTGTAGGTACGTTTCACCGGTTAAGTGTCCTGTCACAAAATGCGGACCAATTAAGCAGCCGTTTATTATACCGGCCCACACGTTTACACTAAACCGCACTTGATGCGCACATTCCCGAATAACGTGTGGGTTATTAAAAGCCCAAAAATCATAATTCGCCCTCGCGTACAATTGCACCATAGCTACGTACTCCACATTAGAAAAAACGTAATGGCGATCCATTTTGGCGGCAATAATATTGTACTGCGCTTGCGTGGTTGCGCGGACGGCGTTCGCGGTGCGACTGGTGTGAATGAAAGCGATGCGAGGCGATGCGGGCCGATGCGAGTGACAGAGAGCGCGGTGGTTGCCTTTGTTGTTTGTCGTGAGGCGATCCGCTCGCGCGCGCGTGCATTGCAGTTTATGCTGTATTACTTAGTACGAGAGATTATTTTACTATGAACATTGATTTGACGTCACATTTTAGAAGAGAAACTATCGTTTCTCATGCTTTCGAGTTGATGATTATTTTTTTGAGTAGATGAGGAGAAAAAAAAATATTTTTTCAAAAAGTAACTTGCATTATTCGATAGTACTACTAAAGGGAAATCGTTCTGCTGCGGGAAAACAACCATTAAAATGTCAGCGTGTATATTTGATGGGGCAACGTTTAACCACTATCTCGCCTGGTGGTAAGCGATGATGCGGTCTACGATAGGTTATAACATAATACTGTTATATCTTGTTTCAGTTACGATTTGCTACTTTGTACCATTCCAAGCTCCTTTCGTTGCATTTACGGGGAACCTCTGTACTTCAATGGTGTCTGTGGTCTTCCCAGCTCTCATGGACATCTGCTTGAAGTACCCTGACCAGTACGGTTACATGAACTTCCATTTAATCAAGAACCTTCTTCTTATGGCCCTAGGCCTCTTTAATTGGATCGTAGGCGCATTCATGTGTGGTTACATCATTCACGTGAGGATTCTCTCGAGGAACTCGCCAAACAGTCAGGGATTTTATTAATTTTAATTTAGTTATTATTTATGGTTAATGTATTTTTAATTTAGTTTTATAATTAAAATATTATTTTAAGATTTGATTCGTTGTTTCCTTTTATTGTACATACCTATTACGTATGATGCATCAACGTTAATCGATTTACCTACCTACTAAGTTTTGTAGTCTTACAAAAACTTTGAACATACCTAATTAATGGTTTTAGGGCTTGTACACAAAACTGCGATGCGATGCGAATTCGCAACGCAAAAAGTTACGATGCGAATTGCTGCGATGGGATTTCGTGGGACAAAGCATCTCCTTCGGTGACCGTTCCCTGGACAACCGTCAACCGTACTAAACGTATGTTAACTCGTCGAGTACCGGTTTTGTAGACACAATTATAGAACAATAGGTTGCGGTCACCGGTGACCGCTTGGTGTTTGACAGTTTAAATTGAAAACTAGCTCGTGACGTGGATCGTTAAAAGAAGTGTGCACTTCTGTTATTGCTTAGGAGATACAGGAAAAAGAAACCAAGAAGATTTTGGGAAGATAAGATTTTTATGCGCGTTGCGAATTAATTCGGAAGGTTTTGCGATGCGACGTCGCATCGCAGTTTTGTGTACGAACCCTTAGTTAAAAATATAAATATTCTAATCTTACTTACTTGACTTACTTGTATTAATGCGAAAGTTAGTGTGTTTGTTGTTGTTGACTGCCTCATTGGCCGAGTGGTCGCAAGTGCGACTGCCGCGCAAGGGGTCTCGGGTTCGATTCTCGAGTCGGGCAAAGTGTTACTAGGTTTGTAAAAACCTCAGAAGTAACACGGAGTCTGGATATGTGCCTGGTATAATATATGGCAAAAGGCTCACCCCCTATTTACCTATTACATGGGACTCATAACATAGATAGTGAAAAGTGGGTGTTACATGGTACAGAGACATTAAGTGCCGTAATGTGCACCTCTGCCTACCCCCTCGGGGATAAAAGGCATGATGTTATGTTAGTGTGTTTGTTTGTTATTCAATCACATCAAAACGGCTGAAGGGATCGTGGTGAAATTTTAATTTGAAATAGGGGTAGATTATTCATAGTTTTTATTATAATTATTTTGTCTCTTGCCTTGTAAAATAAAACATCTGTCAGCGGTTTTAAGACTTTTGACAGATTTTAATACACTTTAGTGATAGAGATGATAAATTAATTAATAAGTAATAAAATGTTTTATATCATTTTATATTCCTCGAAGTAAACAAAATTTACATCACATATCAATGGGTTCGACAAGTATCTACCGATTTTGTTTATTTCCATATGAGTAAATTTAGCATGAATTTGAAAATTTCGTTATGATAACTATGCAAGTGCAAATTGTATGAATAACCAAAATTCAAGTTTCTGTTGACTTCGTATTAAATTCAGAGTTCAATTTGTAAATAATGTAAGTATCTTTTCATATTTTGAGGTGGAGCATTTTCAACAAAATGAACTATATAGAAATTGATTTAATATTGAATTCGACATAAAAACTGATAGTACTGATACCTATAGGTAACTATATACTGTTATCAATAACTGGATGACTGGCAGAGAATGCTGTTAGCATTCAGTCCTCCTTATGCATTTGCATAAAACTTAAATAAATACAAAACTGTCGTATTGGTTTATTAGAGTTCTTAATAGTAACAGTAATAATTTTAAGTGTGGGAGAGCCATGCTTCGGCACGAATGGGCTGGTTCGACCGGAGTGATACCACGGCCTCACTGAAAGCAGACGTGAAACAAAGCTTGCGTTGTATTTCGTCGTGTGAGTGAGGTTACCGGAGGCCCAATTACCCCCTTCCCAAGTCTCCCCAATCCTTAATCCCCCACAATCCTCAAATTCCTAATTCCCAAAAGACCGGTAACGCACTTGTAACACCCCTGGTGTTCCAGGTGTCCATGGACGACGCCGATTGCTTACCATCAGGTGATCCGTCTGATCGTTTACGGGCTTATCCCATAAAAAAATAGGCTTTTGGTGATATCGTAGAATGGAGTTAAGACAGAGATCTCTCGATTTAGAACCTGTGTCCTATGATTAGTTATTTAATGAAATTAATAATTTTCCACAAAAGCGAATTGAATCTTCCGATAAATTTATTGTATGCATTCATATTTCAGGGCAGCTTTTGAGCAAGTCAGTAGGCTTACGTTCCAACCACATCATACGGACCAAACTATTGACATCAGGAGGACGAGGTTACCTTCACTGAGGCCGGAGGAAAATGACTACAACCCCAAAGACCATAGAACACCCACACATAATATTAAGTATGCAAACATGTCGCCACATAGGAAGAGTAAATGCCCTTCCCGCCATATGATGAGTTTTTGCCATACCTATTATTGGAAGCAAGTATAACAGCTCACACACCGTGGTGCTTGGCGACTGGGCTTCACCGTTGTACAGTCTCTTCTTTCTGCCTTTAGGCTTAATATATTCTGTCTCCTGCAGTACTTCACCGAGGGAAGTGGAAACTATAGTTTTTCTTCTTCTCCTCTTATAACATCTTCTGATTCACTTCGTTGCGGGAACCAAGACAGTTACTCAGGTCCCTGGGACGCGCCGGACTTCAATGTTCCGGTGTTTTCATGGTTGTATCTACTGTAGATCTTGGCTTACAGGAGTTGCAGCGGTTTAGGGAGGTTGTGGCGGGCTTGTCCCATTTAAAAAAAAATACCCTTCCCGCAAGTATCGATGACACCTGACACCGTGTTGTAAGAGCCGGCTAGGGTCTAAGGGACTACATATTTAACAGAGCCGGGTAGCGATGCCTTTGGTTAACTTGAACCTTTTAAAGTACAATCTGCAACCAACCTGACCAGCGTCGAAATTATGATAAACTCCTCGTATGTAGAGGAGACTCGTAATCCAGTATAGGACTGTCACAATTTCTTGATGATTAGAACGAGAACTCACCGAGGGTACGCCGCGCGGCGGTCCGCGGCAGAATCCTTTAGATTTTCTCTGGAACAAATACGATCGCTTAACTGCTGGACAGCTATCAAGCATGTGTTTTTTTATTTGTTGGGCCGACCGTTGACCACTAGCTTGCCTGGCGGTAAGCGAAGATGTGGCCTACGATAGAGCACGTCTGCCCATAAGCCCCTACTCACTCGGGCCTTGAAGATACCCACGTTTTACATAATGTGACTGTTATTCAACCCAATACAACTCCCTTGTGGAGAACCTAACGGGTAACCGGGGCTCCGGCTCGACGTGCAGAAGAAGGAACGGGGTAGTTTTAGTCAGTAAGAGTCTGACACTCCCTCCCGCCTCACCCAGGCGAGAGAAGTCATTCGATGATTTTCCCTCCTTTAAAATAAATACAACTCCCTTAAGTTGATACCTCATTATTTAGTTAGACCCATAATAGTTAATCCATATCATGACAGCATTTTATTAACCACTACGTTAACTATAGGTCACAGATGTTCAAGTGACAAACGGGAGCGACTACTGGCTCAACGTACTCCTTAGGCATGAGGATTAACAGGGTTGACACAAACAAATTACTTGAATCCAGTCTTCTAAATATAACAATATATTAATTAGAAAAATCGACCTAATTAACAAAATAAAAAAAGCTTATTCACCTGGAAACCGCAATTATGAATGTCAATGTCAATCAGGAGTTCTTGAAACTTATGTGATGGCAGGCTGTGGATGGCTTATTTCAACCTGTTGCGGTCGATGTGTGCTGCCGGGATGCTGGCCATGCCGCTTGTGATCAGTCAGGCTGGCATCATCGTGGGGCCGATCCTCACTATACTCACAGGACTTCTGGTCAATTATGTTCACCATTTACTGGTAAATGACACCTGATGTGTATTGGCTAAACTACAACTGACCTACAATACTACGTTGGCTCTTGACACTCTTTTGGCCGAGTAATACCTATTATATACATCGTGAAATTTATTTCGTTCTCCCGCGATAAAACAACTTGCCATAAGGTCTACTTTCGATGTATATAAAGTCAAAACACAAATGCCTGAGACAAATAAATAAATAAAAAAAAAACAAAAAAAAGATGCCATTTTTAGTTTAAAAAAAAGAGTGAACCATTTTATAATTTACTTCAGGACGAAAACGATATAAATTTTACGGTGTATACTGCTTACTTTCTAATCCAAGATTTTAATTGTAAATTTTAAAGGGATTTTTTAGACAAAGCAGGTAATTGAAACAGGACTCCCCATTTCGCCTGCCAAGCGCGATGTTTAGAACGAACCCCATAGTCTGTCACCGGCGGTTGATGATGATATGTCTAACAGGACTTAACCCCATTGATGCCATCTAGTAAATTCTAAAGAAAACAATTTGACTATTGTTCGCTTGTGCAGTTAGAATGCCTGAACGAGATAGCAAAGCAGCTGCAGATACCATACATATCGTATCGATATGGTTTCCGTGTGGCTCTCTTACATGGACCTCCTGCATTCCACTTCTTGGGCAGACACGGTCCGTGAGTATATAACTTGTCAAATATTATGATTTTTACAACGATAAATTTTACAAGTAACGCGTGTATGTGTGAGAATGCCGTGCCACTTTTCAATAAAATCGTAAAATAATTAAGGCATGATACTTTCTTTTACAACTGATAGTTTTTTAAATAGACGAATTATTATTTATTTATTTTTAGCCATGCTGGTCCTACTGCAGGGCAAGGCCTCCCTACCCTCCTTCCACTCGCCTCTTCTTATGACTTTCTGTGGCCAAACCTTGACTAGCGGTGGGCAAAACTCACTACTGAGTGGAGCCCACTATATGTCAATAGACGTCGCGGTAGGCCCGGCAGGGTGAACTTGACGCCTAATAAAAGGATTGACCACATAAAGCTATAAGAAAGTAGACGAATAACTTTAAACTATTTAATATTTGGATGAATATTATTACCTTTTTTCACAGGACAATAATAGCCATATTTATGGTGGCCAGTCAACTTGGGATTTGTTCAGTATTCGTTATATTCACGA